CTGACCCAGTGGTGACCACTGGTGTCTGCTGACCACAGTAGTGATCCTTGTGACCACAGTCCTTTTTGGCCACGTGAAACAGAGAAACAACTGCACTTTGTTTTACTGTCAAACCAGTTGCATCCTGTGATTAAGAACAATGTGTATTAATACCAAGGCTGCAATCATGTGTGCTACTTCTTTCATTAGAGAAGGTGAAGTCACAAGATGTGGTAGGGTGGAACCAAATAAAAGGAGAGGAGAGCAGGGAGAGAGCTCAGAGTAGGTTGGAGATTGTAGAGGCTCAGCTGCTCAGTATTCACTGTACTTACTGTGTCTGTGTCTATTTGTCCTCTTACAGCAGTGAGTTTAGAAGTGTTTAGGGGCATAACCCTGACACCTATCTTTAAATTATTTTTTAAATTATTAAATGGTAATAAAATAATTGTAAAGACATTCTTATGTGACTAGATGGGTCTTCCTATTGCAATATGGAAATATAACTAGAAAACCATGGCATTTACGAAAACATATTACCTTTTGTCCCTCTCTGAATTCAAAGGGCAGACCTAAGTGCTATCACAAAGAAAACAGCTTAGTAGCAGTGCATTTGTTTTCTCATTCAGAGAGAGAAGCACTTTGTCTTTCCAATCGTTACCTGTCTGTGAATCAGTTGTTCCATAATAGAGGGTGTAGAGAGGGAGGTGCTGTCTAGGGCTAAATTGCAATTAGTTGGCTTGCAAGTGAGGCCACAATAGTTAACATGGAATATTGGAATGCAAGGACCCCGTAATCGAGCTTTGGTCATGTAGAACAATGCATGAAATTAAATTGACATTAATGAATAATTGTATAATGAAAATGGACGAGTGTAGTTAATTGCATGTTACAGAGAGTGTAATGCCAAGATAACCCTGAGTCTAATACTATTGTTAGTCTGACTGCCAAGGCTCTCATTCTGGCTCCTCTCAGTGGGAAGTCATTAAAGGTAGGGAGTAGATAATGCCAGTGTGCTGAAACCCAGAGTAGCTACAATCTTGCAAAGACTTTATTTCGCAGGCTTTTTTCCTAAGTGGGCTATGCTGAAGTCATTTGTACACAGCCTGAATGAAATTAAAGGTCACCAGTGCTGGGCATCTATGTCTGGCTGAGCTTTTAGAGAAAGGCTTGCACACAACAGGAGCTATCACATGGTAGAACAGACGCCTTATGATTACTGAAAAGCATAGATATTTGCCAAAGAAGAAGATGATTTGAGTGATAGCTACTCTGACTAATTTATAAATGTAATCATAAAGAACCATTAATTTAATTTAAAAGTTATTCCTAAAATTGTATGTTTCCAGTGTGGTTCCATTTAATTTATTGTCTTAAAGAACAGCTATTGTTTCCTAGACATTGATCAAATCCAGCATGTGGAAATCCAATAATGTTTACTTACCTGCTGTCACACAGATTGGGGTGCAAAATAACAGTGGAAGTATATATATAGTGTGCTTTTAGTTTTAAAATGTGAATTATTCAACTTTCAAAACATTATTGATAAGCTACGTTAACAAAATTCCACCAAGAAAAGCAACCTTCCAACTGTGTCTAGGTGTGAAAATATTTCATTTAGCAAACTGCATAGATTTATAGATTTCTATGATAAACTTTCTGCCTAACATAGAATCAAGCTTCCTTCTTATCTCTATCTCCAGCCAACCTCAAGTTTAAAACAACTCTCCATTCTCTGTACTATGAAAGTGGAATATCTAAATTGATCTTGATTTGGCTTGGCTAGTCATAACACATTAATGTAAGATGTTACATGATTCACTTTATAGAGAAAATGGCTAATCAGCCAGGTCTTTGTCAAATGTTTAATTTCCAACAACTAAATCTGACATCTAATCTGCTTTCTTTAATTCTTTTATTCCTTTATGTCAGTTCTAATTTTCCATTTGTTACTGAATGTACCGTCAGTGGCTCTGTCAATACACAAATTAACTACTAACTAACAACAGTTTTGACATTATCACTTTTGGTAATACAGAAGGCTTTTTGATACATCTTTCTTGAAGTATTGTGCCTTCATTGTACTTTTGTATCATGCTTTAACCTTTATCGGTTGCATGGGTAGTTGAGAATTACACCTGTGAGAAAGCAGTGGTGGGCCGTCAGGGCCTGCAAGGCCTTCTCTGCAGGCCTAAGAAAATATCTGAATCACAGACTGATGTTAATTATATTTTGTCCATGAATACTTATTAAATATCTCTAAAGAGTCTGTCCACTTCCTTTCTTTCATAGCTTTTCCCCTGGTTGTGCTGCTTCCAGACATTAATTTTCATATAAAAGCATTTAACCTATCACATTTCAGCCTTCATTTGTTGCTAGGCATGGTCAAAGTCAAAGATGTCTGCCCGGAGGACTTTACAATCTGTTCTGCAGCCCCCCCCCCCCACAGAAAATACATGTCAAGTACACTGTTGCTTTAACCAATCAGATTTTAAGTTGGTGACACCAGGGCCTTCTTGAAGGCCTAAGGCAACGTCACCATATTCACACCCGCTGATTGGATAATCAGATAGCGTACGAGCTAAAGCTAGCAAACGAACCCAAATATAGTTGTTTTGGTGTAATAGCTATTTTATCACCCCACAATGGCTGAAGGAGGAGAAGAAATTTACTTGGTGGCATATTTCATGTCAGGGCCATTTTCAAGACAGACTTTTCAAGAATAGTAAGTGAGTGAAATGTTGTTTTTTTTGCGAGTTTATGAGGATATTATTGATGTTTTTTTGTTTGTTTTTTTTGGGGGGTGGGGGTCGCAGCTGTAGCTGCAGGAGTAGAAGACTTGTGCACCCCTGATGTTTATACTGTATTTTAGGCTTGTCCCGAGAGAAATTGTTCGCGCATGAGAAATTGCCAATCCAGACTCCAGATCAATTTTTTTTTAAAGTCAGATCCCACACGAGCATTAGCATCTCCTAACCCACAGGTGTTGGTCCTAACCATTAAGTTGTTATCAGAGTAAATCCCTGTTCAACATGAGTCTGACAACTAAGTAAGTAGCTAGATAACTTTCAAGTTTAATACAAAAAGCTGGATCGGGACATCCATACTGTATTTCTACATAATAAGATGATTTCTATAACCATAAAATTGTTATTGAGGGGTGAATTGATTCGGACGGAAACCTACTGAAGGCTTAGGTGTGAAAGGCACGGTCCGCCACTGTGAGAAAGAGACCAAATCTTTTATTTGTATAAGGACAAGCTGGCACTGCAGAAGAGTCACTTTAACTAACATTAATGTCCCAAAAGTTCAATTAGACAATGTGTGCAGGAAAAATTCCTTTTTGAATTTTTAAATATGTATTCAGCTTCCTGCTAGCTTTTACATGTATTTGATGTGATGTTTTATCCAACTGGCTCATTTCAGTTTAGGGCAAGCCCCAAAAGGGATCACTATAAACGGTCTGTGGCCAATCCGCCGAAAAGGCTGTTGTGACTATTTGAAAGTAGAATTGAAGGAAGTATTATATCTTTCGCAGGACCTGTTAAAAGCAGAGGAGGAGCAAACTGAGAAAACCATACCCTCCCTAAAACAATGTGAATATAGAGGTGCAAAATTAGCTATGGTACTGGAATTCCGCGCTCTTTTGACAGCTACATTTTGTCTGTGTCACGGTTTGACGCCTACCCTATGCCTCGGGTCGACGAACTCCTGGATCGCCTGGGCACGGCTCGATTTTTCACAACGCTGGCTTTGACCAAGGGCTACTGGCAGTTTCCCCTATCGCCAGAGTCCAAGGAAAAAACGGCCTTCTCCACTCCGTACGGGTTGTACCAATTCGTCACACTTCCGTTCGGGTTGTTCAGGGCCCCAGCCACGTTTCAGCGCCTCATGGACCGGGTGCTGCGGCCGCATGCTGCATATGCTGCCGCCTACCAGGATGATGTGATCATGCACAGCAACACCTGGGCGGAGCATATGCGGCAGGTGGCTGCGGTGCTCGAGTCCCTGAGGCAGGTGGGGCTCACGGCCAACCCGAAGAAGTGTGCGGTTGGACGGAGGGAGGTACGGTATCTGGGGTACCACTTGGGTGGCAGGCAGGTGCGTCCACAGGTGGACAAGACGGCGGCAATTGCGGCCTGCCCAAGACCCAAGACAAAAAAAGAGGTGCGGCGGTGTTTGGGGCTGGCCGGCTATTACCGGCGGTTTATTCCCAACTTCGCTGAGCTGACCAGCCCCTTGACCGACCTCACCCGAAAGGGTGCCTCAGATCCGGTCCAGTGGACGGCGCAGTGCCAGGTGTCGCTTGAGAGGGTGAAGCAGACCCTCTGTGGGGAGCCTCTTCTCCAAAATACACTCTTGTGGATTATTGTTGTCTGACCTGAAGAAAACCAAAACATGGCGACCCAAGCCAGTTTGCATACCGGGCAAACAGACCCACAGAGGACACCATCGCCATAGCTCTCTACTCTACACTGAACCACCTGGAGCAGCAACAGAGCTATTTCTGGATGCTCTTTGCGGATTACAGTTCTCCCTTTAACACATAATCCCAGACAGCCCTACTCCTGGTCAATGGACATCACATCCATCACCAAGAAGGGTTAACATCAGCTACACTTCCAGACAGTCCTCCGGAAGCACAACCTCAACTCGGACCTGCTGCTGACATGCTAACGTCCATCTATCGAAAACCTGCTGACATATTCTGCATCACTTTATGATTCGGCAGCTCCACTGCTGCTGACAGGGAGAGGGAGCAGAGAGTTGTCAAGGCAGTACAGAAGATCATTGGCTGCCCTCTCTCCTCCCTGATGGACATTTACACATCCCACTGCCTCAGCAGAACCAGGGCTATCTCAAAAGACAGCTCCCACCCTGGCTCTGTCCTCTATTCAAGCCCTCGTTCTCACCCCTCTCTTTCTGCAATGGAGCCACAGTCTTAAGTACCTGAATCTCCTCAGATGATCAACATCCATTATCTGTTAAGGTGCTGCCATGCCACAATGCGTGCAGTGGCTTACGCGGTAGCAGTGCACAAGTTGAGGATCATGCTGGCAGAATTGGTGACATCCTCAGCATGGTCAAATAAGTTGGGCTCTGAGGTCATCTTGTTTAGGTCATGGGCCACCAAAGCTATGTTGTTGACTGAGGCCTGGTAAGCAGACTGGTACCTGGCTGTGAGATGGTCTTTAGTTATTGGGAGGCATGTCGTCTGGTGGAAACGGGGACTGCGACAGGGGAACCGCCAATACCACCAATATATTGACTCATACTGTTATAAATGAGAATGCACTTTGACTCAGTCACCTTTGTACTGATCATCTCCCCAAGCCCATCTTCTGAGGGTTGGTGTCCACTTATTATAGATAAAACTTATAAAAGTCAGAATTACTTTTTGCTAGTCAACTAGAAAAAATTATTGTGCGCAGTGTTGTAGCAATGAATTTTGATCACATTTTTCATCTCACTCAAGTGCTGAACAAACTGGAATCTGTGATTAACAGCTTTAATTGGGATTCTAACGTGACAAATTTTAACAGCCTTGCAAAGTACCTAAGATTGATAAATCATCGGTCTGGGATCTGCCTCTTAAGTGAGTGTGCCTCGAGATTACTTTGTGATTTTACTAACTTTGAATATTTGCTATAAATCCTTTTCGCACCTCATGTTTGATGAACGAAGTTCATGTCCACTTAATGAACTGACTACTCTGCTCAGGTTTTGAAGCTTTGTTTTATTTTGTTTTGTGTGTGTGTAATTCTTCGTCAAGACCTAAAAGGCTGGAGGTCACAACTGCTGAGCCAGTGTTAATCAGATGTCTGCACAAAATTATGGAGAAATTATGTCCAGGTCCAGAATTAATTTTACAAGTCAAGTTTTGGGGTATGTAAGTTTCACATAATTCAGTTAATTTGTGAAACTGACCAGTTAATCATGAAAATGACATAATTGCTTTATTATTGAAGATATTCCCAAACCTCTCAGGAAGCTGAAATTTAGTGAGATAGCTATGATAGAGCGACATTAACCTGTTTTATGTCGCTATATCAAAGAATGTGTTAAGGCTCGACAAGAACCGAACCCCTGTAGCAAAAAAAAACAAAAACAAAGTGTAACGTTCCTGGCACTGGAGCTGGCTCCAACCTCCATTCGGCACTCCTGATCAGTATCCACACCCCGCATTCAACCTTCATTGTTTCGACCTGACTCCACCTGCACTTAAGCTCCGTCTCAGCCAGTCTCCAGTGCTAGAACGTCTCAAGCCACCCGGTAAGAACTTCCAGCGATTTCCAAGTATTCTGCCTGCCTGTTACCCGACCTGTCTCTGCCCTTGATTTCCGACCCTGCCTGCCCGTGACTACGAACCTGCCTGCCCCGCTTGGACTGCCGCACTTGGATTTGACTCTGGACCTGGACCTCCTTTTGGATTACCCCTGGTACCTTTGCTGGATTATTGGCTTTCCTGTTACCGGACCCGGATTCCCCTGACCACGCCCCCGGAATTCCCCGCAATAAAATCTGCTTAACTGACTGTCCGTCTCTGGGTGTCTTTGGGTCCAGTTCAGATCGTTACACAAGGAGGGAACATCTGGCAGTCTTTTGAGGTGGCACGCCATTGTTTATTCTCCCAGATGTAGGGATGGAAAACAAACAAAACACAGGATAATGGCAGGATGCGGAGAGCTTGGGGCTAGGGAGCCTAGAAAGGCATGCTGGGGTCGTTCCTTGGAGGAAAAAAAGGATGAGGCAAAAAACAGTTAAACACTGCATGCGGGAAAAGATACACATGCAAAATTGCAGTCGTAAGAACTTGGCTTGAGGTTACTCAACGGGTTGTACGTCAGAGAACTGACTGAAGATCCCAGCGTCCTTAAGTAGGCTCCCCAGGTAACTAACTACAGGCGTGCTGCATTGGAAAGTTGTTAGTTGGACACACCTACGACTGTGTCCCTGAAGTAGGTCTTCTGGCTCTCTGCCCAACAATGGAATGATTGTTTGTTGAGGAAGATTTCGAGACCAAATACAATATTCTGTGCAATTGTTACTTAGTGAAATACAACTTTTCTCTTCCCAAGTTGCAGCTTCTGAGCTATAAGTATACAAATGATATTTGTTAAATATTTAAGTCCCCTTTCTTACAACTCACTTTTTCATCCATTCATCCATCCATCCATTATCAATACCGCTTATTCCCTGATGGGGTCGCAGGGGGAACTGGAGCCTATCCCAGTGGTCAACGGGTGAGAGGCAGGGTACACCCTGGACAGTCCGCTCACTTTTTCAAGTGTAAAAATATTGTTAGAAATAAGCTGTACCATAATTACAAACTTTAGTTTTGTTTGGTAAGAATTATAGATGGATATCTCCCCCGATGTCTGAAATTCCATTGTGAAATGTAAGTATTGCTTCCATTATTAATTGTCCAAAGCCAGATGATTTATTTTAGTCCTGCAGGAGGACTATTCATTTTCTGCATGATTTTACCTGTGGGCGGCAACAACACTGTTTTGCATATAAGCATTTGCTAAATGAAACAAAAAAAAAAGACACATAAGAAGTCCTAAGAGATACAACAGCTAATTTTTTGCTTTGGTCAAACATATACAAAAATTTGATTCATTAAAGGTATTTGGCATGCATTCAAAAGTGAAATATATATTGAACAGTATTTGATTATTTTCTTTGTTCAGACTTGTAACAGCTGGAGAAAAGAAAAACTTGATTTCATATGCACCTAGAGACATGTAGAGTTGTTTAATCATTAGCATGCTTTAACTTGGTTCAGTTCTCTGTCCCAAACTGCACCTGCACCGCTATAAACATGCAACCTTGCCCAACTGCACCAGTGTTACACTGGCAGTTTACATTCCAAAGAAACAGTGGAGAGTGACAGGACTGTGTGCGCAATACAAACTGTTGACATTCAGGCAAGTCTGGGTATGCCTTGACTGGAGACAGCCAGCTAAGTTCAAGCTTTGCTTTGAAAAATCCATTGAATCTCAGCACTTAAAGGAATGCACAGGTGCAGACAACCCCAGACTTGATCAATCTGACACTTATCAAGTTCCCCATGCAACAAAAGAAATGAGTCCATTGAGTTGTTTTTCTTCCAAGACTATCACACCCTGATAAATCGATTTATCTGCTCATTTATCTTACAGCTGGTATTTTATGTAATCACATCTATACTCTAATTAGCTCATTATAGTCATCCAGTACCATATTAATCTGTATGTATATAGATGGATTTATAAACATTTGCATTTATAGATGGATAGGTGTTGCTGCTCTTGATTGTCAGCGTCTGTGTGGGGCAACTGATATCAGGGTCACCTTTTTATATAGAATATATCTTTAGAATTGTATTTATTTAGCTGTTGTTGATATTCAAACAGGAGTGAATCTATTAAAACCTTAATTTACAGAATATTTGATCAGAGGACTGCTTGGCCCACTTGAAGATTTTAATTGACAAAGTTATGTAAAATAGGCAATTGAGATCCACTACGTATTTGACTAAGGGAAAATATAGTGATTTAAAGAAACTGGTAAAGAGTGTTGCCTCTTAGCAGTATAATCCTAAATTGAACATGTGCTTATATGAAATATACTAGACACATTGGAGCTTAGAAGACATTTTGCATTTCTATTTCGCCACCAAAAAGGGGAGGCAAATTAATTAACACATCTTTGCAGCCTATGAAGACAGGTGGCAATAATCCTGACAAGAGACAGATCTGAAGCCCTTCATACAAAACCAGTTTCAACTGCACTCAATTTTTCAAAAGCTCATCAGGGTGAGGAACACGAGAGTTGAACCCACGTGGCTGCAGAATTTGTTTCTCTCTGATTGCCTTGTCAGGATATCTTATCAGATGGCAGATGACCAAAACCCCACCCTTCTCAGACAAAGTCCCTCTTTCTGTGTATCTGACATACAAACTGCTTCACACAATGCAGGCTTTTTTTTTCAACTCACACACACCACCTTTCACTTTCCTAAGTAGACATGCCCCTACAATTGACTATTTACCCAAATGCTTTTGATTCCGTCAAAGCACATATGAATTTTAGGATATCAGGGTAAATTTATTTCAGAAATAGAACATTACAGGCAGATAGCGTAAGACAAAAGCAGGTTGTTTCTTCTTGGCAGACATAACAAGCATCTTGGCAACAACATGAATGAGCCAGCTAATTTTGTATTAATTTATCTGACATCATAATCTTGTGAAAGGTTGTTTCTGGCAGATATGTGTTTGTTGGTTACATGAAACCATTATATACAAGTAACTCCAAAGGCATGGGAACATTTTTATTCTTCTGGCATTGGAAACTGGGATTTAGCAGAATCTTTATTTTTATAAGGAAAAGTATAATACAATATCTTTATTTTCCGATTTAATAAACCTACACTTGTCAGATAGCTAAATGTCTGCATTGGTGCTTAAATTAAACTATACACCAATTTTAACAGTTACATGATAAATGTATTTGAGGACTGGACATCTGGTTTCAAATCTAAAATGCATAAGTGGAGCGCTGAATTCCCAAAATCCAGCCCTGCTAACATAACAGTGCTGTCTCCCACACATCTACATAGGGGGAATTTAATCTAACCTTACCTGTGGCCTTAAAATATAATAACTTTGTTCATTAACTGAAATCAACTACACAACTGACTATAAGTTGGTGTCGTCAGCATGTATTGTCTTTAAACATACCTATGCACTCTCATTCCAGCCTATTGGGAAGTCATATAAGCATAGTTTAGGGCTTTGGACTTGTTGAACAGTCACGCTGTAACTGCTTATATTTATATAACATTGTTGTTTGTGAATGTGCCCCATTTACTCAGCCTAGTATCTACGATGTGCGGTCTCAAAAAGTCAAGGGATGTGTTACATTAAAATGAACATGAAACGGCTGCAGCACAAACTCAATAGAGGTCTCTGGTTCAGACAATTTATCTTAGTTATTGTCAGGTACAATGAGATTGTTTCTCTGGGTAAGAAGGACCCCACTCCATTTGCAGTAATACAATCACGAGCGCATTATGCTAACACTACTGTCCGTTGGCAATTAATATACAATGATGCACTGAACTTACATTAATGTAACTGAGCATGTTGCAGTTCTTTAGATCCAATCTTCTTTGGTTGCCCGAGTGTATTCTCCTCAAGAGACCTGCCCTGTCTGTCAAGCCCCTAAGGGCATTCATTCCCAAGCAGTCCCACAAGTGACTTAAAAGAGAGAAAGCTCACTAAACTGCAGGTTTCAGAATAGGAATCACTCCTTAATTGAAAACCTTTTTTTCTTTTGTTTTTTGCAAGGAGAAGATATAATGGCGAATTAAATTCTCAGAGATTAAATCATGGAGATATTATTTTGGCAGGAGAAATTATCTAGGACCTATACTGATCCAACTTTACTGCTTTATGAACAAACAAGAGCTGATTACAGTAATTTTTACATTTGTTTATGTAAATCTTTTCTAATTGTCTTACCACTTCTTAACAACTTTTATTCAGTCAGTTAAACACAGAAATTAAATAACCTCCACATTCCTCCCAAGTTTGAATCATGTCACGTAGAGGCGGGGGGAAAAGGCTTCTTTGGTTGTAAAAAGATTCATTGATTGTTCTTGAAATATAAATGATAAAATTGCACAATGATAAGCAACATCCAGGATTTCAGCATCAATTTGTGATAAGAAACTGGCTGATTTGCATTCTGGACATGTTTTTTCACTATCCTGACAACTAAAATGACAATCGTTACTTTATATGCAATCATTTATATGTATGGCACTGTGATGTGACGGTTAGCACCACTGCCTCACAGCAAAAGGGTTCCCTGTTCCAATCCCCGGAGGACCAGGACCATTTGGTGTGGAGTTTGCATGTTCTACCTGTGTCTTTGTGGGTTTTCTCCGGGTACTCTGGCGTTAATTGGACACTCCAAATGTCCCCTAGATATGAATATGAGTATATGTGTTACTTTGTCTCCGAGTAGCCTGTCCATGGCGAACCCGGGCTCTTGCCCCTTGTCACCTGTGATATGCTCCACCCCGTCCGCAACCCTGTTAGTAATGAGTGGTATAGAAAATAGATGGATATATTAATATAAAGTAATGTATTAATAAAAAGGCATAGTTAATGAACTTGTTAAATTATGAGCTAAGAGTCAGTATCAGTATTTTTTTAAATAATCACTGTCAGCAAGTGGCATGTGTTCTCATTGAAGATAAACTTCATCACTTTAAAGAAATTGATATTTTCATTAATCTATATATGGATTTATGGAGTTACATAACTGTCAAAAGATTTATATTTGTAGAATTGTAGTTGTATTTGTTTGTACCAATTCTTCTATAGTATCAGGAATATTGAAATGGGAGGATGTTTCGTTTAATGGATTCAGGGTTAAATTATCCCACCAGTGACGTAATTTAAATACTTTTCTTCTCGTAGCCAGAAACTTGATGTCATGTCCACAGCACGTCAAAATGTGTTGTTGTAAAGATAAAAGTTGTATTCACAATGCTTTTCGCTCACAGGTTTGAGATTTCCACTAACACAAAGGCAATCCTAACCCGCACGATTTCTCAGATCTTTGTGTATGAGAGCACAATTTTGTGTTCAACATTACAAAACTTTTGTAACGTAAACAGTTATATAACATATATAGAAAGCTATGCAATTATGAGTTTGGAATCTTGAAAGCTTAGGTCAGATATTTCATTGACATGTAGTCATGGTCTGTCGTGTAAAAATTGTGTATATCTAGATTTAGCCATGAAACAAGAAATAATAGAATTCTTACAATTCCTGTTATTTGGGACTTGAATTTTACACAAGGACAATATTCAATTTACATTTTAACCAACACAAAGACTGAAGACAAGCAGTAGTTTTTTTTAAAACATTTTAATCAACAGTATTTTTGTTCACTTGTTCACTTTCATTATTGCAGTATTGCTTGGACGTGTGCTAAACAGGATGGCAGTAATAATAGGTGAATAAATTGTAAATGTATTTCACCAGTGTGCAAAGTAATTTATTGAATGTATTTTCAACAGAAATACGCCCACAAGACAATTCCTGCACAACCAGGATTCAAAATCTTAGAGGAAAACATGATTAGGTTTGTCTCTCAAAGTAAAGATTTTGAAACTCAACGAGAGCTTCTGTTTGCTATCAAGGAAATGGAACCTGGTGGCCTAAATGGTATGTTTTCAGCTCTTTTTTTGTGACAAAAAAAAGAGCTGTCCTGAGTGTCCCATTGTTCTACACAAACACAAACACAAACACAAACATATATATATATGAGGAAACGTAAATTAGGCTTCTGTTTATTGGGTACACTGTCATTTCATGCACACTTGATCATAAAATCAAAATATAGTGGAAATCCCAAAACTGGCGTAAGATTCAATTCAATTCAATTTTATTTATATAGCGCCACATCACAACAACAGTTGTCTCACAGCGCTTTCCAAACAGAGCAGGTCAGACCCTAATCTGAAGTTGATTACAGAAACCCAACAATTCCCACCATGAGCAAGCACTAGGCGACACAGGCAAGGAAAAACTTCCTTTTAACAGGCAGAAACCTCGAGCAGAACCACGGCTCAGGGTGGGCGGCCATCTGCCTCAGCCGGTTGGGGGTGAGGGAGAGAGAGGGCAAGAGAGAGAGGGCGAGAGAAGTACAGAGGGAGCAGAGAGAGGCAGCCAACACAGCAACACATAGACTAGATGAAAAATGGCAATGATATTAATACTAATGATTATGGTAGAAGTTATGACAGAAATAACACTATGCAGAGTAGTAATAGAGCAGGAACACGGGGGCAGCAGGAAACTCGCAATCACAGATCCAGACTCCACAGCTCTAGGAACACCTGCAAGAAGTGATAGGAGGAGACTCCCAACCACAGATCCAGACCCCACAGCTCCAGAACCAGGTTGTGAGTTGTGACCAGAATGAGGTTGCACCGGGAGGGAGAGAGAGAAAGGAGAGGGCAGCTCGGTGCATCATGATGCATCCCCCAGCGGTCTAGGCCTATAGCAGCACAACTAGGGGTGGACTTACCCTAACTATAAGCTCTAGTTATATGCAAGGTATAACTTAAAAGTCAACAAGTAATACATTAACTACTGGTTAAAAAATCACAGTCTGTTTATACATCCGATGTTTTATGATCATGACCTTTAAACACTATACCAATACATCTAAAGAGGAGGGAAGCAGCCCATTGGGAATATTTGAATCCATAGATTCTGTAAGTAGGACACAATTTATTCAAACACAATCATTATTAATAACTAGATAGTCAACCCTAATGCATTTTCTGTATATTTTCCACTTTGGATCTCTGACTCCTGAAGTACAAGCATACATGACTCGTACTTCATAATTAATGGAACCAAGGACACACAATTGTGTTGCATATAATATAAATTTCACACATTCTTTGTTATATAATACCTGTTGCTGAAGGACAAAAAACATTATGTAAAAGATACCAGCTGCTGCAGATGCACTGCTACTGAAGAAAAATATGACCATAGGTACATCACAGAGTGTGTAATTTAATTCTGACTATTTTGTTTTCTCACACTTTGTACTGCACAGGCAACATATTCAGCTATAACAATTGCATGTACATGGAACATACTAACATGAATTTAAACCATACATTGAAAAAATGTCACAACTCCTTCTAGGGTAGTTTTATCAGTTAACCAATTAGGAACTTCAGAAAAATGTGATTTGACACCATGGGAACACATGTAGTTCCCATGGTGTCAGCTTAAAGCTATGCCGTGAGCTGATAATAATAATTTTGGTTCATACATTTCCAAAGTTACTTCTGCAAATAAAAAATATACAAAAAAGACATCAATCATATTTCAAGCAAAGCTGCTGATGTGACACTAAATATCAATTTAGCACCACAGTCACTGAAATCAGTCAACTGTAGATAGCTCACTAATCAGTTTCCTGTCTAATTCTTTTGAAGTCTGGTGCATTTTAACCTGATTAACAATTAAAAGGGAGACAAGTATAATATGCAGCTTAGTGAGAAGGACATGGTAAGACCATAGAAAGCAATAAAATAAGTATTTGCAGGTCTAACTTTTGACCCTTTTTTGGAATGCAGAAAAACATACTGTTGAATAATGGTTATGCTCTTTTTTTGCACTTGAATTCTTTTTTGTTTCAGGAAGATAAAGAAAATGGCACACCCAGGGTGTACATTTATCAAAATGGTTTATACTCTTCTTAATTGTCGTCAGATTTTGGTCATAAGAATAACCAATGTGTAAGGTTGATAAATAAAAAGTACATTGTCCACAACTATTAAGGTGTCCAATCAACATTGTTTAGGTTCTGCATAGCATGTTTCCATTCACAGAGGCAGTCCTGCACATTTAGCAGAAAACAGATCTGTAAATATCCATAATAAATCGAGCGAATCACTATGACAGTGGTAGTTTTCCCACTAAGTCTAGTATTCGTTATTACTATTTCTTCACACCAACATATAAAAAACTTGTTTGCATGATGTGAATGGAATATATCAATTATGTTTGGTGTATGTTTAGTCTCATCAACCTTATGCGGTTGCAAAGAGTGTTTGGAATGGTAATCCAAAAATTAATCAATTTCATGTGTCTGCAACACTCCTTTACTCTAAGTATAAAGAATCTGACAAAGAGTGAAAACAACATCTCAGTAATTTAGCTAGAGTGACTAAAATCAAAGGAGGCAATAGTTCAGGGTCTGAGTACAATTAATTGTATCAGTTCTTTAGAACCTACTGACATAGCTCACTTGTAAAGGCACAAGTCCAGACAGAAAGGGCAGTGTAATGAAGATGGATGCATTCTGTTATCAAACAGCCACTTAGTGGGCCCTGATGTAACCTTACACTTTGAGGAGAGCTCAGTTGCACAAATAATCTAATTAATGAATAGCAGCCATGAAAGAGGACATGGCAAGTGCATATTTGCAGATGAATTCCAGACACTAATCAAACACTGTTTAAGTGGTTCGGTTTGTCTCTAGTGCAAGGCAATATTTACTGTGGTGTTAGGCCAGTGTTTGCATGCTGGCTTAATGATGGCATTCATCTTTTAGTCTTGTCATACATGTGTTAGTGCATTGGCTTTTATTCCTGTTACAACAGAAGACTGAAAGCAAAGATGTGTTGGGAAATTTCATTAGAGTGAATTCATTAAAACATGTTTTTTTTTGTCAAGGGGTCACACCAACCACTTTGGGCCAGTAGTGCAATATATTTGGCTTCTTGAAGCTGGGGAGGTTCTCTATATTTTAAATGCATTTAGAACAGCAGTGCACCAGATTGTTTAAGCAGAGCAGTGAATTGTTGTAAAGTCAATGAAAACTATATTGTTAAGTGAGTCTAAGGTTCAGACTCTCATCTTAAAGAGGTGGGAAGGAATGTCAGTGACTGAAATAACCAAGTTTTGAGCACCCTGTTCTATGTCAGTAATTTTTGGTCAAGGATCAGGACAAAATTAGGTGTCTAATATTTTGACGTGGCTTAATGTACTTTGTCTTTGGCTTAGGTGTAAAATTCAATGTGAGCAAGTTTGAAAGGCTGAATCAACCAATCACAGCTATGTAGTCAGGATTAGTAAAGTTGGTGACTGGAAGGTGCAAACCAATATTACAAATTCTTAAACACTAAAACACTTTTACAAAGTACAGAATCAACAGGAAAGGGGATGTATCAATTCTGAGTCTGAAGCGTAGGTGATAATGAGAACACTCATTGTGAGCCCAGATGGACAGCAATCAGGTGGCATTTTGTTGCACACATATGAGTAGATTAACATAGTTTTGTTTTTCGTGTAGTCTGACTTTGGAATTTTAACTGAATTCCCCTCCAACCTGGTTACTGGCCAACCATTTCTATTATCACTTCCGAGTCAACGTTGGTGGCAGCATTTTTCAAATTGTATTGATCCACAATTTTTCACAGTCTTTTATTTGACTTCACTGACACTTTATCTTAGAAAAAACAACATTCAGGTCAGTAATTTTAGTATATATTTAGCCAAATATCCCCAAATATTTACACACTAATAAAAACCACTCTTGTCTGTATTTAGTAATCAGGTCAAACAATAGATTAAAGCTATTTGATATTCCACCACTATGAAAGCTGTTAAGACCTTTGGCTATTCTGCTTTCTTTAACACATTCATAAAATATGTTATTCTGAAACATAGCCTCTGAATGTTTTAGACCCCGTTATTGCCCTGTTTTCTATTTATCTGTACTGAATAACATATGTTGCTAAAGATATTCAAAAGAAAAAAGACTAAATCAACCGGAAAGTTTTTTTTATTGTACTTTACCATTTTTATGTTGGTATTGATTTTTTGTACATACACCTTTGTTCTGAAACCTTGGCTATTTCCAAAGGGATCAATAAAGTTATTCTACCCACTCCAACATTGATGCGGAACTGATAACAGCGTTTATAGTGACTCTAAATGGGAGGGAAATGAGTTATGCTGAAATTCTAAAGACCGACCACACAAAAAACAAAACCGTGTTAATCTACTTATATGTGTATCCATCTTGAGAGACTGTGAGCGCTTCCGTTATCGCCTCGGAATTGGCCTTTTCCCTCTCCAATTGTTCTCCTAAGTGTTATTTTCTCTCATGCTTTGTAAAAAAATTTTGGGACTTGATAATTTGTTTCGTGAAATGTTCACTTGTTTTCCTAAATGTAAATTTGTTTCATGCTTTATAAAAGCTTTCAGAATATTTTATGTTGGTTTGCACTTCCTGGCCACTGTAATAAAGCCCTCCTTATCTAGAAAAACATAGAGGTATATTCAGCTTTCATAACAAGAAACATAAAAAGAAAAGAAAAAACATACAGACAATAGAAATGCAAATAAAGCAGCTATCAAGTTGTATAGATTGTATAGATTTTCCTTTTATTCTAAATAAAACTTCCATTACTGAAAGTTATAGGATCTGCTTTGTAAAAAATTATACCGTCAATTCAAACACTTCAGCTTCACCTGACTGGTTGTAACAAAATCAAAAACCTTTCCATCCAGATATCCCCCTTTGATGGTGAAAGAAGCACTGTCTCTACTCGGTATGACCAATGTGTTCAGGTTGTTTAGATTAAGATGGAATTGTTGGAATTAAGATCAGCTGACAAGTCTCTGGCTCATCAAACTGGCTCAGTGGGTAAAGCAGTTTTACCTGGCTAAGCTGAAAGTCTAATCAACTACGTGGACATGTACACATTGTTACATTATTACTGCATACCTTTGAATTGTTTCTGTTGCTTAAAATATTCTTCTCAAAATCAATCCTTTGAATTCACATGATTTTAACCCTGTATTTGGCCCTCTAACAAAATATGTCCTGTCCAACAGGATTTTGAGCAAAGTTTTAACCATAAAGTTACACAAAAGGTCTCAGATGCAAAAACTTCAGACATGCATGCATCAAATATAATATGCATAGGGTTAATGACTGCATGAGAACTGTTAACAAGTAATACAATAATCATACTGTAAGAGTCACGTCGGATCGCCGAGCAAGATGACTGCTCACCAAATTTGTCCACAAGACGCACCGAAAAATTTTACTTATCCGTCCATATCTCTCTGATAACTTTTCTTTTTTGAAGTCGTCAATAACCAGCCATAGTTTTATTTAATTTTCACCGTGAAATATAGCCTAGCACAATGTCATCCTTGAAATGTGCAAGGGCACAGGCACGCGTGGGAATCCTGCTGTGGACAGTGACATTAGCACTCCACAGAATACAAGCATGGAGAAGCTTTTGGGTGAAGTGACTAAAACGGGTACCACACTCAAAACAGTGTCAACAATCAAAGAAACGACAATGGAATTGAAAAACACTGTTAGCGTCATGCAAGTATGAATGCTGAGGGAAAAACCAGAATATCCAACGCCGAAGAACACTGTACAGCACTTGGCCCGCAACCGCAAACTACACAGTCAGCCAATTGATACGTTGTGGAGCCGCATAGAACATTTAGAGAACAGAAGCCGCTGTAATAATATTAGGTTAGGTTGTTAGGCTTGAGAGCAGCGAAGGGGACGACATAAAGGCATAGATTGAAAAGATCCTAAATGAGGGCCTAAAGATTGTCCTTGATGGTGAATTTAAAGTGGAGAGGGCGCATCTTTCTCCGGCCGCACGCCAAGATGAGGACCAACCCCCGAGAGTGCTCATGATCCAATTCTTGCGCTGCTCTGGAAGAGATAAAGTTCTCAAAGCGGCAAGGGAGAAGAACGGAGCAACTTAGAATGGGTGCAGACTTTTGTTTTTCCCAGACATGTTAAAAAGTCTGGCTGAGAAAAGAAAAGCCTTCACGCCGGCCAAACGATTGCTGCATGCAAAGTAGGTGAAATTCACACTCGCTTTCCCTGTGATACTGAAGTTTACCTGGAGGGGGAGAAAGCTACATTTTCAAGATGCTACGGAGGCAGAGAAGTTCATCCAGCAACGTGTAACGGGGATGGAAGTCGAGGAGGGAGACAATGATGGTGAACATTAATGCAGCAATGGTTATATGCCAACTACTGAGAGAAGGGTGGGGGCGGAGGGTTGGTGAGGCTTAAGCTAGGACACTAGTCTTTCTTTCTTTCTTTCTTTTTTTTCTTTCTTTGCACACTTGGACTCATTTTTAAGGAAGAGTCTCCATTTTCTAGGAGTCTCAAAAAGTGGGAATATGTTTTCACCTGTTTTTGATATAATTTTTATTATATCCTGAATGGCTAATAATTATTTTGTTAAGGTTGTATCCTGGAACATTAATGGATGTGGAAACCCAGTGGAAG